CCTCTGTCTCTCTTCTACTCCTCCTCCTCTTGTTTGCTTGTGTAAAAAAAATGAACCGACGATGCTCTTGCTCTCTTTCTCTGTCTGTCTCCTCCCTTCCGTACGCTCGCTTCCTTCTTCTTCCTCCTCTGTCTCTCTTCTACTCCTCCTCCTCTTGTTGTTTATTGTCTTGCTCTTTCGTTCAGATGTTTCTTCTGTTGTGGGCAAGGTGCATCTCTTTCTTTTCTTTTCTTTCCGGTACACATGCCTACCTATCTATCAATTATCTCTTACCTACGGTGCCCCCTTTGATCTTTCTAACCGTTCTGCCAAAACACCAGGTTGTACAACACAACCTTCCACATGCATACGTACCACCACGTGCGGTCTGGCAGTCTCCCCTCCCTCCTCTCTCCGGTCTCGCTCAACACGTTATCCCGCCATGTACGATCTACGAAAGAGCTGCGAAAGGTGCAGCTTGCTAAAAAGGAAGTGCTACGGTGCAACTCCTTGCAGGTATGCATATGGTGGTGCTTGTAGTCAGCTACATATATATGGACAACATCGTGACTGCTGCTGTGGATGGAAATCTCCAGAGTCATGCGTGCTTTTCGACGACTGCTGTGTGTGTAGACTGTTTACATACAGTACAAGATAACCGTACGTGCATGGAAAGATATCGCCTCTCTCTCTCTCTCTCTCTCTCTCTCTCTCTCTCTCTCTCTCTCTCTCTCTCTCTCTATCTATCTATCTATCTGCGGATGACAAGGCAAAACATACCGATACGTACGTATTGTGCCCACGACTGATGATTGATGATTGATGATGGGTCCAAGGGAGGCCGATACGAGCATGGCATAGCAACCGCGTCATGGCATAAGCTTGGGCGTTCCCTCTACCGGCGTCTCTACACTCTTTGTTTGCGTATAATCATGTGACGATGTGTGTAGCCTTTGCCTATGTCTGACGTGCAAACAACAAGCAGCAGCAGGCAGGCACACACAGTATCCCCTGCACAAATAGAGTTAACGAGCGATACTGGGCCCACCTACAGCGAGCAGTAAAAAGAATGTCTAGGGTTGGGTACTGGCGCTGCGCGCCAGTACCAGGTGTACTGGCTGCGTCGGCAGCCAGTACACTGGGTCCAAACAGTACACTGGTGTCGCGGCGAAGCCGCGTGGTCGCGGCGCAGCCGCGACCACCGGCCCCCCCCGGCTGGTGAGGGGGCCCCGCCGGAGGCGTGTTTTTACGCGATTTGGCTTCACTAGAGCATATTTTTTGGGTGATTTTGGGCCACTCGGATGGTGCCGGACTCGTGTGTGAACCACTAAAACTGAAGAGATTACAGGTACAATAATCAGATCTGATTATTGATTTTTGGCTGATATCTTGAAGTTGGTCGGTGATATTCATCACATGACAGCATGACAGCTAGCGTATTGAACATATTCATGAACAAGCTGCTTCCGAAACATGTTGAACCAAGTTGAAAACCTAGTAGACTGCATTTTTCATTTGAACCCATCCTTACTTGACAAGTTACTTGAAGCGATGGACAAATATTTCAGTTGGAAATCGTAATGCTAGAAAATGCGCAAGTAAAAAGGCAGAGCAAACCCGTACAATCTCATGCAGAGGGCGTGTTGCTGCTACTGATATATTGTTCCATCGTTTGTACCCAACTCCCTCTGTGTGTGCGTGCCTTCGTCTCACAGCCTCTCCCCTCTGATGCGGCGCAATTCGGTGGGTTTCCATGTGGTTTAGGAGGCATAGTGTAGGACGTACGTAAGTGGGCCAAGTACTGGCTGTACTGGCGGTCTCAAATCCAGTACTAGGAGTACTGCCAGTACAGGAATACTGCCAGTAGATACTGATCCAGGACCCAACCCTAAAAATGTCACATCAACCATCAACCCTGAAGATCCAGGACCTTATCGAGGGACAATAACGTCACCATCTCTCTGTCCACAGCTTCGGTCACGTCTATGTTCGACAAGCCTCTATCTCTCTCTCACACACACCCTCTCTTTCTCTCTTCTATGTCTCTGTCGCGTTCGATCTCGCTACTGTAAGTAGCAGTCCATACCGCAATGTTGATCATGCGACCACCAAAAGGTAGGCTCACCACAATTAATTGGTACACACACCTGCAAGGAGCCAGGCCATCGCACTTCTTTTTCTTTCGCCCGCATTCACAACAGCTCCTGCGCATTTCCCCAAGCATGTTTTCCACCCCTCTCTGGGGTCTGGGCCAACTGGTACTTTCCGTTGTGCGGTCATGTGGTCATTGCCCCTGTGGTCCCATGTGCAAATGGCTCAATGAGGCACACGTCACCTCGGTTCGCTCATTTGGTTCCGAATCCCCTCGGCGCTCGGTGCTCGGCTCGGTGCTCAATATTTCTCCGCAAAAAACCCGCATTTTTTGGCGCACCGTCAGTGTCAGTACAGCACGCTCAGCACGCAACACTCGAGGTGCTTTTCGAGCGTACTGAGAAAAAGGCCCATACACGCCGGAACTGGACGACTTACTTCTCTCCCGAAGTTTCGCAGTTCATCTGCAGCGGGGAGCCTTGCAGGCTAGCAAAGCTGTGGGGATCATGTCATTTTGTTCTGGGTCGCGACGCCGCTGAACCTCCACTGCTGCCGTTGGGCTTCAACACGTTCCCCCAAGTCCCGTCTTTGCCGTCTTTACCACACCTTCACCAAAGGACTTCACCACATTGTGTTCGAGTTCCACCTCATCGGGTCGTCCAACGGTGTCTGCTTCTTTGATAAGACATACGGTGAGATGTGATGGTGTGTTTTTCGTGTAGAGACAGGCTGACCTTTTCCCAAGGTTGGTTGCAGCTGCCACACATGGTTGCTTGCATACCTCTTCACACCATTGCAGAGCAGGACCTCCTCCATCCAGCTCCAGTAAGATCGGAACGCAGTGGTTGACATGTCGGAATGCCATTCGCAGAAAATGCCTTGGTAGGTGCAGGTCGTGCAACAGCAACCTCGCTTTTTACCATTCAAGCTTTAGCCTTGCACAACAACGTAATTGTACCAGCTTTTTACGGCTCTTGCGCTGCGGCGTGCCGCGGCCTAGGCTGCCCAATGTAGAAGTAGGAGTTAGCTTGGGGTGGGGTTGTTTGGGTTGGGGTTAGGGATAGGGCTGTATCCTTGGTGGAACGGTCCAAAACAAATGTACTTCCTCCTCCGCCCCACACCTTGGAGGTGCCTCGGGATACTGCTGTAGACTACATGCTGATACTGCTGTGTACAGGTTGAACACAGGAGTTCCCCGTCAACCATTGCGTTCGACCAAGTCGTAAGCACCCTTCGTGGATCCGTTGGCGATGCCCATCTTCCTCTCGTTTCCTCATCTCCTCATGTAGACTAGTGTTGGAGGACATTGCTGTACGGTGTAGGGACCTGTGCGTCCAAGCAGTATCAACCGGAAATGCGGTAGGTACGTGTGGTAACCTTGTCTTGGCACAGACAACCGTTACACCCGCCACTTGCGCGAGGACAGTTATACTACTTGCATGTACCGTCCTTGCAAAGTCGTGCGAGAGCCCTACCTTACCCTTACCAAGAGCAAACCACAACCCTTTACCCACACCCGCAGGAATACGGGACACGGAGTAAAGACTGTGACCATGAATTCCATTTACGCGAAAGAGGGGAGCATTGTTACAAACAACCTTGGGATGCGAAAGAGCTGCTGTGAATGTGGGCGAAAGAAAAGGAAGTGCGATGGCCTGATACCTTGCAGGTACGGAATATGTGATATGTCGACATGAACCTTCGCCATGATGTTACTGTTGGAAGTGATGATGCTCCTTTTCGTCTGATTGGGATTTGCATGTTTGGTGGAAGTGTCGACACGTATCTCGGGTTTGCTAGATACCAATCGCAAGAATGGCACAAGTAATCCCCTATTGAAGGATTCTATAGCAATGATGCTCTCGCTAGAGGTGGCGCCGCCCCACCGTTTGTGCTCGTTCTACTGTATCAACGAGTATCAAGGAGAGCAACAGATTCAAGAAAGACGATCTAATCGACTTTGACGCAACCGTGACCTCACGACTCGGCTGAACGTGGTGGTCTCCATGTCGGAACACGATTTCTCGGAACATTCGTCCCGGGGTAGGTGCAGCTCGTGGAGCCTAGCACTTACCCCTCTCGCTCCGCAGTATAAGGCTAGCACGCACAGCAACTTAGTGTCTCACCTATCTGTCCCACGCCGTGGCTTAAGCTAACTGTACCTGTACAGCAAACTAGGTCTTCGCCATTTTTGCGCCGCCACAGAGGCTCGCGTTTTGCGACCTAAACCCCTTCTTGCGCCGCGGCTACGCTTACACGTGCAGGTGACCTAGCTCTTACCAATATGAAGGGTTTGGGTCGGGTTTGTTTGGGGTTAGGGATAGGGCTAGGGCTATAGGTTTTGAACGGTTCAAGCAAAATCTACAACATCCCAGGTTCGAACCAGAATGTTTTAGTTTCGAAATGATGCGTTATTTCCGTCGGGGCAAATGTCCGCCACCGCCGCCCCACCTGGCCTCCTTAGAGTTTCCTCGAGACACTGTATATACTGGCGCTCTACCAGTTGTATCCAGTTCCTTCAGCCGTTGCTTTAGACCAAGTAGTAAGCACCCCGGTATTAAATACAACCGAAAGATCGCCTCCATAGCAATCACGAAGAGATACATCACTACCGTTGGGCAGCTCAATCTTCGGGCATGACTAATTCCATTTGCAGTCGGGCTGAGCAGCGGGTGGGGCTTGCCTCCATCCGTATCACGCAGTCCATCTCTGCACACACCTTCTCAAAGCACGGCCAAAATGCCGCAATCCAACATTGAAGACGAAAGGTCCAAACGGTAGGTGCTGGAAGGTCGTTCTCGATACGTTGGCCCCTTACTTCATGCAGTCGATGCCGAGGAGCTGGGGTCCAATGCACGTACAGCAAGCGGAAGCCGCACCAGGGTCAGCCTGGGCACCAGCACCAGCGCCGTCCACGTGGTCCTGCTGGCATGCAGTCAACGGAGTTGCTGCGCCACTCTTCATCAGGCGCACTCCTGGCCTGCGGCATGCTGCCTTTCAAGAGGTCAGCCGTCGTCTGCGCTCCTGTAGGTTGTTTCGATTCCAATCGATTTTTTTCGAAGGCCATCTTCGGCTTGAGTCACAGGATCCCATTCCCTCTCCCGTTCGACCGGTTTTCATGCGAAGCTTCACATTAGTATTGTGCCGAAATGGTTGGTACAGGAAAGAGGAGAACGACGCCTAGCTGAAAAATGCTACCCATTGGTGTATGCCACACTAGAGCGAGCTTCACCCTCGAGCAGCACCTCCAAGCACTGCGTGAAAGACGTGGGAAGTGTACCGGAGCCGCAGGTATGAGCTAAAAGACGACGAAGGGCGCTCTAGAATTTGAAGATAACCTCCAAGTCTTGCGTGTCGTATCGGGAGAGAGCTGTTTGAACGATCTCATCACGTCGAAACGCGCGTTTACTGTACCAGGTTCAGGTGGAGTGCATCTCCGGCGACCGGACTTGTGGGCATGCAGGAGAACGCATGCCTCAGTGACTTCTTCGGCTGCATAGGATTTATGCCGCTCACCACCCGAAGGTGCAGTTAAACTGTGGCGGTGTACTCAACACGGCGCACCTCCGCCAAGATGATCACGTTATGTAGCGTGAGTCATCAGACCAATATATATATATATTTTTTTTTTTGTCTTCACTTCAAATCGGCGCTCACAGCACTAGTGCCGTTTACTCCAACCCGTGGTCACACAGAAGAGCCCCTCTCTACCCTCCCCTCCTGCGGTACTTTGCCTTCGATTTTTAATGCGAGAAGAGCTCAGCACTCTCTTCCCTCTGTGTATACACGAACTAACGCTATCCACTAGGCCAGGAGCGGAAGCGAGAGAAAAACTCACTTTGCAAGAAAAGCTCGCTTGCGCCGGGGTTCGAACCCCTGACCTGACCTCTAGAAGGTTTCGAGGATACCAACTAGACCACCGGGGCGACCGGCTATGGAAGGCATGGATTCGTCCGAGCGATGGGCGCTCGGACAATAGGGACCCTTGAGTGGATCGACCAATTCAAGATTCTTGTGCTATTGACTGTTGCTGCCAGCCACATCCGCGGAGCGATGGTGAGGATGATGACCAGCTCCACTCCCCATCATCAGCCGGGCGCTCCGCACGACTCCCCCGCGCAAGGACACTTCGGCTCCATCTTCACCGAGGATGGCATCACCCCTGGAAATCAGCTTTCGACGGGACCCTCCGCTTGCACATTTTGGTGTGCCGTTGGTCTGGGGGCTCTTGTGAAGGGCAGCCCTGTTGAATCGGTGAGGAGAAGATCGCGTGTTTCTCGCTCACCCGATATGAGGAAAAGAACCGTTGTTCCACGTCGAATTGCAGCTACCAACCGACGCAATTTCGAACTACAGTAGGAGGCCCGATATAGCGGCAACCTCAAAAGCGGAATTGCCGATATGGCGGCATTAATATCTCGTTTGTCACAATCTCAACTCGGTATGGCGGCATTTTGCCGTTGAGGACAAAGCCCGTTATAGCGGTTCTTTGGGTTATCTACCACCCCAGAAGCGTCAACTCCAACCGTCGGATCCCCTATAACTCACCACTAAAGCGCACACGCACACCGCACACCACCGTTGGCTCCGCACGTATATATGATGCCGGCGTGTAAAACGGTGTAAACTTCCAGACCTCCCACAACTGGGGGATAATCAGAGCTGATTACTCAATCATGGTTGGAAGCAGCTTGGCGGTAGGTGTTCATGTGTCGTGGGGGGTCGTGTTCGGCGTTTACAGTGCACTGCTGTCAACGTCTTTGCATCTTGCGGTGAGTTTACTGGTGTGCGGTTCTCTATGGGATTTTTCTTCGAGTCTCCCTACACACTGAAGTAGGCTGTGGCAAGGGAAGGTCGGGTCACTCCGAGCTGGTATTATATTAACGTGATGTGCGAAGATCGGAGCGTGTTTCATGTGGATACACAACTGCTGTGTACAGATACATCTCTGACACACGCTGCAACGTGTTTAGCGAGTAGACCTTACTCCTCTCCCGTCATTGGTGTGCACATCAAAACCTTTGCTCCGCTATGCGGCAATATTGCGAATTGCCGCCGTTGACCCCCCTCAGTGGTGGTAACAGCAGCACTGCCCTGAACAGTGGCATATGTTGGCTTGCCCCCACATGCCGCTATATCGGGCCACCTCCTGTACTACTGGTACAGAAGAGTTCGCCAGTCAACACATCGCCCGCACATTAACACGTCCCCAACGTGTCACAAAAGGTCGTGAACTACTCCCGACTGGCGAGAGATGCGCTGGACGCCTACACTGGTCCTGTGGATGCTGAGGTGGCAAAGTGAGTTTCAACGAAAAACTGCAACACGAGCACACGCTGTACCGTGACCCATGCCTAATCTTGTCGATTGCATCAGGTGGCCGAATCTGTCACAGATGTTGGTGCACGCTACTGCATGTTTGCTCTTCGGCCAAGTGCATCATTGCACAAACATGACCATATCAATCTTAGTTGTTCGGCCAGGTGATGAAGGCTTAGTGCCGTTTGCCATACACGATTAATTCCACACACACACGCTGGTTTTGTAAGCTCGGCATCTGCACATCAGTGACGTGAACAATGCCGACAGATACGAGTTCGGAAATGCTGAAATCGTACCGCTCGGATGGCACCCTTGTGTCGTTGATAGTCTTGATGCCTCTTAGCGCATCCAGAGTTCAACCTCACGCCAGAGTGTATGGGCTCCTACACGGCCTACGGTGGTGCTTCCCGCTCGACCCCTCACATCATTCACCCATCTCGTGTCCTGTCCTCGCGTCAACATCAAATTAGGGCGTGGGCGATCCTGGGATACTTGTACGGTTTCATGGGAGACACGGTGAGCACGACTCGGGTGGGAGTTACGGCATCCTTGCTCGGTGTGCTCGGGTATGCACACGAGGAGCAGCGTCTCTTGCCTGTCGATAGACCCAATCTCTTGACAAAGTTTCTATCGTCAACGATACGTTAAAGTGTGGAAACGGTATACTCACACCGGATATCATCCATTGACCCACCCGCATCATATCTTCGCCGTCTACGAATGTATTTCTGTGGTGCAGGGGAAGTTTGAAGAGTACCTGGAGCTTTCAGACTCCTTTTTGACTGCTGCCATCGAGCAAGGGTCAACCGACATGCTGCCAGCGGTGAGTGTGACGCCATTGCCTTCGGTTGGAGTGTAGCTGATGCTAGAGCTCCTTTCCCTGCCTGGCGAAACTGGTTCTATCAAACCCACGACCGCTATCTCCCCGAAGAGGACAGATACAGGATTGCAGATCCGTTAGCTATCTTCGCCAACACCACCCATACACACCAGCAGCACCACCATGATGCCTCTGGGGTTTGCCAAGTACAATGCGCCACTGCACCAATGAGTATCGCAGGACTGGTTTGCCGTTCCTGTATGCGTATGCGTTGTATTCTGTAGGCGGGGCGCGAGGGTAAGCATTGGCTACGCTTCAAGTTGCAGCGGGTTTCCGTCGTGATCAGCGGACAGAATGGATGGGGTTCTCACCCACAGCGGCACCCAGACATACACACGTTTCGGGGTACCGTCGCGATCCAACAGGAATCGATGGTCCCATCCACCCATCGCTTAGGGCTTGCCTACGGCCGGTATGGGTGGGGAGGTGTCGATCGTGTTTGTGTGTGTTTGTGTGTGTGTATTCGGCACGAGTAAGAACTCAGGCACGCCGGCGTGAAAGAGTACCGGGGTTGCCGAAGGCGTGAGCTGTAGCCGCGCTGCTGGAGGTGACCAGGGGTTGAGGTCGAAACATGTGTGTGTGTGTGTGTGTGTGTGAGCTGCCCGCGTATTGGGGGACAAAATGTTATTGAGGGCAGGAAAGTTTGTGTGCGTAGACGTAAAACATGAACGACATCCCAACACTGTGTTGAGACCGTTTCCGTCCTACGTCCGGTCAGCGCACCACCTCTAACGTGAATACCATTGGTTGGTGGAATTCTTCAAGACCATTGTTCGAGATCATCTCGACAGGTCGTCTCAGAACTCTCATTGCACTCACAGGAGTGGATTGATGCGCTTGGTATCTGCAGAATTGTGAGCGTTGTGGACACCAATTCATCCAGATGTTTGTCTCCCTATCAAGGCACGAGCTGTTTGCTTCTTCTTACTTCCTCATGCCACGTGGTTCAGCCGTCCGACGCCGCCAAACTTTTGGTCACCTCAGAATGACCCGTGGTGACTTCCGGTGTGTGTGACCAATCTGTACCGTTCAGTTTCCATGAAGCTTCCATGAATTGGAGACGAGCAACACTGTTTTGCATTGTTTCCGCCTCCGACCACGCTTGTGCTTTGCCCTGCATTGTGTTCCAGTAGTTACCTGCTGAACTCTCGTATACACGCATGCATGTGGTCAGGGATTCGCCGAGATCGTGAACCACAAGCAGACTGTCAAGGTGTACTCGGGGAATGCAGGCCCTACGGATATCGAGCCGTTGGGCGCACGGCGTCAACATCCTCCGCAGGTGTGTCCTGCACCGAATAACTGAACGTGATTGGCCCACCGACGGCGCTCTCTTTGCTCGCACTCTGTGCCATCGCCCAAGACATCTCCGCGATGGAAGAGCGCGAGCTTTTTAGAGTGCCCGTACCCGAATGGCGTAGTAGACACCACCGAAACGTTACGTCGAATGATCCGAGGCAGGCTGGCAAGCGTCACCAAGCAAGATCGGTACGCCACCACCAACACGTAAAGAAGAGCCACTTCAGGCTCTGTGCAAAGAATGCATACATGTGTTTGATTGCGGCAGCAACATGGGCAGCCGTCACAAATTTTATCCCAATATGTAATACCCGCGACGGCAAACATGTGCAGACATGCTTAGGAGAATAGAGTCCGTGAAAGACATCAACGCGTATTGAGGTCAACATGTGCGCGCGATCGCTGCAGTTTCCACATTGAGCAACACAACGTACTGCTAAGGAAAGATGTGCGGTAGCACTGTTTAATATGGTAATATGTTTGGAATCGGTCGTCATCCGAGTTTGAGTGATAGACTCTTCGTTCCTGTTCGGACTTCTGCACCTCGGAACGCACCACTACTTTTACAAACTGGGAGTTAAGACCGTCACGCTCGAAAGCATCTAAACCTAAGGAATTGGCGATAAGGGCATGTGCTAGCGTGAGAAATACTACTCAAACAAGTAGTGGTTGATGTTGGGTTACCCTGCAGTGGAAAGAAGAACGAGCCCCAGGCTAAATAGGACGCTCTGTCTGCACCCTGTTGCCTTTGTGGGGTTTAAATCGTTTGCAGATTTCTGTCGTTCATTTCTCGGACCTTTGCTGGGGTTCCGTGGTTGAATATCGGATATTTGTAGATTACGATATTGACGGTGCTTTAGACGACGTATTGGACAAAGGTCAGAATGACGCTGATGTGAAGACAAGACCATTAGCAACAGCAACGAAGAACACCGAGAGGAACAGTGGTTGTTGCTGATACCCTTGACGCTGCGTGCGACTCTGTGGGCACCTCAAGGCGATTTTCCCTCGGCACATTGGCTGCCTCGTTGTCGTTTAGTCGCGAAAATTACCCCGGCTCAACAGGGAGTCGAGCGTTAATGTGGTGCTGTACGATCCTTGAATGGTTTATAGTCCAGCCCGTCCTCTCCTTCTGCTCGATATGATCCAGGTCAACCCAGTTGCAAGCGAAGAGGATGTATTTCAGTATGTTTCTCAGTCGCTTGTCGCGTTCGAGCAAGTGGTTTTCGCGAAGGTTTGCGAAAAACGTTCAACCCGTGGACAATGGACCGATAATGAACCTTGCTTGGAGAACAGAGCCGGTTCTAGCGCACACGGTAACGTCATCCAGGCGGAAGAGGTGTCGGATGCAATGGTGGCCGGGCTCAAGGATGGCCTGATCGAGTTCGAACACCTGCAAGAAACCGTCGATCGGTGAGCAAGGTTCAACCTTTCTCGACGAATGGTTTCGAATGTCAAACGACAACTGTATGCCCGTGGTCACATATTGATAACCTTGTGCTACCTACTCTGCTGGTTGACCCCTCTTTCTAGACCCGATCGTGCTGAGTTCCTGCAAGCTCACACGTACCCTTTTCGCGATGTTTTGTTTTTCTCCTCGTGGCCGGTCTCACCTGTATGGCGAGCAGACCAAACGTTTGTTCGGGCGTTGGAGGCCTCCTCATTAACATGTAAGTAAACCTGACCAACGTGCTCCCAACCGTTGGAAACAGCAAGAATGTTGCTGTGTGATTTGCGTGCGACACCTTGGGCTCCGTTGACCTGTGAGCATTACAACATACTTGCACTGCCATATGAACAACTTTGTGTAGAGAAGTTTTGTTAGCATCCTATGATGACTCGCGACATGCTCCATATGTTGTCGCCACCCCTACATTGACACGTGCTGGGTCTGACAGCCCTCTGGCATTTTCCAAAGCAGCGAATGGGGACGCTAGTGGGACGCTGGAGAGGTTTGGGCATTGCGTCGAGGTATTCGAGCGGTACCCTGGAGTGTGTCGCTGCATGATGAATTGGTGAGCCGATCGCATGAACATCCCCAATACTGGGATTGGTACTCTGGCTGGCTGCGTCCCGTGGTCGTGGCGAGTACTGGGAAAAGCGAAGCCACGAGTCCGGACGACAAGAACATTACTCCTGACACAGCTGGCGTTGGTCGTTCAGTAGGATTTGTGTGCCTGTTTCCTACCTATGAACTTGACCTGTGGTTCTGAAGGGTTACAAGTAGTCATTGACAATTCTGGCGTTCGTGTTAACAGGCGTGTCAATGGTGTTTTAAGTACTGAGACCGTATGCGGTACAACATTGGTATTTGAACCCATCTTGTGTTTCGGCCCCCCATCGAATGCATACCTCCCACCATGTAAAGGTGTCACCTTGCACACGGTACCCTGGGGGCTCTAGCAGCGATTGACGACTCCAGAGCTCGAGGACTGTACAACCGGTTGCGGGATGTCTACAATTCATCTCGCCACCCTTCCTCTCTGCCAGCGCCACCTTTGGAGGAGTGGCGTGGAATATCTGCAATCTGCGATCATTTCCAGTGCAGGTGCGTTGGGGGGTTGATATCCTGCTATCGCACATGGACAGCGGTGTTTCTACACCATTTCCCCCCAGCACCAAGCGCAGTTGGATTGGGAAAGGTATCTGGCTTGTCCGAAGTTTGAGAACAGAGATAAGACACCCTTGTCTACATGTGCACCATTGAACCGCCAAGAAAATGCGCACCTTGTTGGGCGACCGCATGCCAATGCACCATTCGCCTTTCGCTTCTAGATCAAACACACACAGCCCTATTTCAAACCCACACAGCCTTCTGGGTGCTTTCGAAAGCGAGGGAGAGAGGTAAATTCGCGCATTTTGCTAGATCACGGGTGGAATGATGTGAAATTCAAGGTCTCTGTTCAGTACCTACTCTACGTTCAAAATGGAACACACGAGTTCCCGTGGCCACAACGTCACAAGGCCAGAAATAATTATCGAGGACGAAATTTCGTCGCGGTTGTGTTTTCGCTCAAACCGTGGCCAAATGTTGTTTCGAGCGCTGCACGAAGACGTTGGTGTGGCACTCCCTGCCCACACCAAGGCTTGCCACTGCGGATATGTAATCCAAACCTCGCCCGTGCTTGCTCCCGCTGTACCATTTTGCTTTTCAAGGTTAACTGAGGGTGTTATCGCGAGTAAAGCCGTGGGCGTTTTCTCCACCCCGCCCCACTGCCGTAGCAACTGCATCGGCCCCCAGACTACGTGCAAGCAAGAGGATTCACAAATTGTCGTTGAGGAACATGATGACATCATGGTGTCGGCGGGTGTGATTCCCGAGAACGCGACCGGCGCGATAATGGCTGCTCCTAACAGCAACGGAGACAAACCAATGGCATGTACGAGCTGGTGGGAATTGAACCGAGAGCCTGCACCACAAACGAGCCCACCTGCCGGACCGAGCTTGTTTTCTGCAGATCTCCCCGGTGAATTAGTCCGGGGAGGCGCAAGCGATACTGACGTTTACGGCGGTGCGGTCGAGGGGTGTGGTGGTGGTGTCGTTTCTGGCTTGGCAGGCCGAGTTCCCGATATGTCCTTGACATTGCCGTTGTTGAGAGACGTAGATGGGGGCACAGAGGAGATCGGGGATGATACGATTGCCGCAGCAGACTGGCTGGAGGTTACTCATGCCATGCTGGATGCAACTGACATGAAGAATCCGGTTCCTTAGCGTTGATGAGACTTGGTCGCTCGGGCCAAACCGTGATGCAGGTTTGGCTGGTAAACGTGCTTGCAAAAGCAACAGTTTCATCGTGAATAAATAGCCGGGTTGGGAGCACAAGCTGTACAGCAGTTTTGTCTTGTTGAATATCTAATATCAAGGTATACCTCTCTGCCGGCGATTGTGCCTTGCAATTGTACGAACGTCTCGTCCGGTATTGGCCACTATGGGGAAGGATTTGAGTTGAAAGCTTCAGTATCCGTCTCTGGGAATAACATCCAGCAGAATGTGTTCCGTTGATCGCACTCTGCAGTTCGTCCGCAAACTACGAAAGATTGCTTGCGAAAGTAAGCGGCGCGAGTCTCCGGGGATCCATTGAAAAGTTCCACGGAGGTTGCCCCGCTGTCCCATGACACCCGTAGCAGTTGACATGTTAACCGAACCGCAGAGGGAAGCATCGGTGCAAGCGTGCATAGTCCTACGGCAGGTGCTGCGGTAAGCGTAATAGCTGGCTCTGTGTGTGGACACGACAAGAGCGTCCCGTTGTGCTTTGGGCGTCTCTTAGCAGTGGCAAGAGCAACGACACGAGCACAGCAGCCGTGACAAAAGACAACAACGGGAGGGAGAGCTTCTCGGTTACAGCGAGGTACATGAGAGCGATGGGGGTCAACAATGGTATCATCACAAAAAATGTTGCTCTCGCTGTTGATGGGTCAAGCTGGGCACATCGTCTGCTGAACGCAAGGCCCAAGCGGGGTGGTTGAGGTATCTCGACCCATACATATCTACATTCCGCAGCCTTAAGCTCGGCAGAAGTGCAAACAGAGACAAGCAAGTTGTGCTACCACCCCGTGGTATTTGTTCACGTCCACGATGTCGTTCTTGCAAACACGTTGAACAGCCAAACCCGCATCACGGTTTAGCCCGAGTAACCAAACCTCACCAACATGAAAGCACCCGATTCATTCGTCAGTTGCATCCAACATAGCATGAGTAACATCCAGCCAGTCTGCTGCGGCAATTGTATCATCCCAGATCTCCTCACGGGCCCCGTCTATGTCTCCCAACAACGGCGATGTCAAGGACACATCGGGAACTTGGCCTACCAAGCCAGATAAGACGCCACCACCACACTCCACGACCGCACTGTTGAGAACGTCAGTGTCACTTTCGCCTCCCCTGACTGGCTTACAGTGGAGGTGTGAAGGAGACAAACTCGGTCCGACAGTTGGGCTCGTTTGCGGCGTAGGCTCTAGGTTCAATTCCCACGAGTAATTAGATGCCATTGGCTTGTCTCCGTTGGTGCGAGGGGCATCCATGATCGAGCCGGTCGCGACCTCGGGAGTGGCACCCACCGACACCATGCTGCTATTCTGTTCCTCATCGACAAACTGCAAACTCGCTTCTTCGCATTCATTCTGTGAGCCGGTGCAGTTGCTAGTGCAGTGGGTTGGGGCGGAGAAAACGCTGAAGGCTTGACTCGCGATCATGCCCTCGGTTAACCTGCAAAGAGTGTTGATGATCCGGTCAAGCGCGGGACGGGCGAGGGTTGAATTCGTATCTGACATGGGGTGCCACGCCAAGGTACCAGCGCTCGAGCAAACATGTCGCCGCGATTTGAGGGAAAACATGACCGCCGAAACAGATAGCCCTACAGAAAAAACAGTATTTTGGCCAACTTCCGAGTGGAGAGGTGACTTGTGGGTCCTTTGTGAGTACTGAAAGCTCCTTTGCCCTACTCTGCTTGTCTCAAGATATAATGGGCTTGTCGCACAAGGTAGGGAACTCTCCTACAGTTGTCGTTCTTACCTCCCTTCGGGATATAGGTGGTGACCACGAACTTATTTCGTTCCATTCGATGAGTAGGAGAGAGGAGGATATCAAACGTCTTTATTGTAGTGGCAACATCAACAACAACGTCGCCCTGCACCACGGCTTGGATATTCACAAAAAATACAATGTTCAATATCTGTTAAATAGTTTATCCCCCGCTGGCTTTCGAGAACGTACAGCACCTAGAAGGTGGACCAAAAAACGCTAATGAGTATTGGCATGCGGTGACCGGATAGATTTGTCCTGGAGGGCACCCCAAAAGTACATACCTCTCGGAGCTGGCTAATCCCTACGAAAAAACTATTTCTAGACATTCACTACGGGAATCGTTTGCATATCGCAACTCGTATGGTTGTTCTCTCGCAGAACAAACCAAGGACCCTACAACAATGTAACAAAGATTTGTCGGTCGAGACACCGGGCATTATTAGGAGACCGAAACACCTGCGGACGGGTCTCTCTCTGACTTTAATCCCGAAATTTCGGGCAACCAGCCCCTGTACCAAACCCAAGCAAGTTTGCCTACGTTAGAGGGGAAACTTTGAGGGAAAGCCGTTGTGAATACCAACCCCCACGCACCGGCACTGAAAATCATCGCAGAATGCAGATATCCCACGCCACTCCTCCAAAGGTGGCGCTGGCAAAGAGGAAGAAGGGCGAGACGGATTGTAGACATCCCGCAACCGGTTGTACAGTCCTCCAGCTCTGGAATCGTCAATCGCTGCTAGCGACCCGAGGATACCGTGCGCAATGTGACACCTCCAATTCGCGGGAGGTACGAGGGAGGCAGAAAAACAAGAGGACACATGCCACATGGTTTCAGCACAATACACCATAGACACGTCGGCATCACGATCGGCGAACGTGTCTATTGGTAGTCCCACATAATCAGCAGTCGAACCGATACGCAGGAAAGAGCCATACATTGAACAATAAATGCTGACTGCTTCAGGGCTACTTACTCCCTTTCTACCAAGTTAGCTTGTCCAAAACTCGGAACCACCACGGATTGCAGCCAGAGTATCTCTGTCAGCTTCTGGTGATGTCCATGCGATCGTCTCACCAAAACATACAGCGACAAACGCCTGGGTACCGCTCGAATACGTCGACGCATTGGCCGAACCTCTCCAGCGCACCACCAGCGTCCCCGTTCGCTGCTTTTTGGTATGCCAGGGTCCTGTCACATACGGAGCGTTCCAATGTAGAGGTGGCGAAAACATATGCAGCGTATCGCGAGCCATCATTGGGTGCTAGGGTAGTACAAATTCTCCACTACCCGAAGTTGTTCGTGTTGCAGTACAAATATGTGGCAATGCTCATAGGACAACGGAGCCTGAGGTATCGCACCCAATTTACACAGCATGAGGTTTAAGTGTTGCTTTCGACAGTCGGGAACACCTCGGTAAGTATTACTTACATGTTGATGAGGAGGCCGACAATGCCCGTGCCAACGTTTGGTCTGCTCGCGATGTAGGTGACGGCGGGTAATGACGGAAGAGGAAATTATCGTGAGAATGGTATGTGCAAGCTTGCAGGAACTCCAAGCTGACACAATCGAGTCCAGAAAGAGGGGTCAGCCAACAGAGGAGCACAAAAGTTCTGCGTCATAATTGATGAGGAGATGTGGGTTGACAATCCAAACCATTCATTAAGCAAGGTAAAAAAATTGCTCACCGATCGACTGTGTCTTGTAGGTATTCGAACTCGATCAGGCCATCTTTGAACCCAGCCACCATTGCATCTGACACCTCTTCCACCTGGGGTGTGTGACCGAGCGGTGTAGCACCGCCTGTTGTCTCATCGCAAAGCTTGTCATCGCTCGAGTGTCGGCGGGCCGCACTGTTCTCGCAAGATTTCTCGAAGACAACTTGCTCGAACGCGATCAGCGACTGGGCAACATACCGAAACACGTCCCCTTCGCTTGCAGCTGGGTTGATCTGGATCACATCGAGCAGCAGAAGAGAAGAGGGACGAGGGGGAGGTCTCGTAGCCATGCACAATCGTACTTCACTACCGTACCCTTCCATCCCGTGTAGAGCTGGAATAATCTACCTTGATATATTGCAAACGAGGCAGGCAATGTGACGAGCCCAAATTGCTTCGAGGGCCCACAGTCACACGAATCGTCCAGGGTACCCGCAGTTATCAATGCTGCTTTCGCTCGTCGTTGTTGCTGCTGCTAATGTCCTTGTCTTCACATCAACTTCATTCTCCAGAAATACAGCATTCATTGCTGGTGATACGAAGTTCAAAAACCTCTTCATTTTCAAGAACACAATACATTACAGGAGGGAATGTTTTCGAATCACCCCACACCCAATCCATTTGCACCCGAAATAGATCCGTGTGTGAAGATGACAGCGCTGAAGGGTTGACCGCGGTGTGCTTACTACGTAGTGCGAGGCGTGCACGATTGTCATCTGTCATCGGCTGCCTGGTTGACATACATTGTTAGCGACGGGACGACAACGGAAAGGTTTCGTTTCTCTGCCTGCACGAGATCGTTGCCAAAGTCTTCTATCTGTGCGCTCCAGGTGGGCACCCACCGCTAATAGTGCCCACCCATGGTGTGGAGGCCCTACAGCTGCGCGGGGGGGCGGAGGCTCCTACCACCCCGTCATGCTCAGTTTCCATCTCATCACGCCGGGGCATTTCTTGTGGGATCAAGTGGCCGCTGCGACTCTTCTCAACTTCAAGGACGACACGAACAAAACACCGCCTTTCAACATGCAACATTATTTTCCCGAAACGAGCGGTGACAAAATATCTCAGCGAAGAAATCCTGTGAGAAAAAATATTGGGGAGAAAACCCAACGTTTTTGACCCAACATTCTGTTCCCAAAAAAGATGGGTGTTAGGTTTCGACGCTTTCGAGCCTGAATGCCTCATCTCCCAAGTTTGTAAAGTGGTGGCACGTTCTGTAGCGCAGAAAATCCCTCAACGAACGAAGAATCCATCGCTCAAACTCAGATGACAACGGATTCCAAACATACACAGTAGGGGTGCCTCCACACATCTATACCAACACTATTGTGTTGCTCGATGTGCATACCGGTGCGGTCGCGCTCACACGATTACCTGAATACGCGCTGATGTATTTTGCTTTGTCGACTGTCTAGTCTCAGAGAAAACATTGCCGTGGAGGTATTGGATATTGGGAGGATTTAGCGACGGCTTTCCATGTCGCTGCTGTAACCAAACGTTTATTTTAAGCTTTTTTGCATAGGCCCTAGATTGGTTCTCTTGACGTCTTCGTTGGAATAGCGTATCGACCTTGCTTGGGTGATTTTTGCGAGCTTCCTCGGCTCTTTCTCGGTATCATTTCAATGGTGTCTTCTACGCCATTCGGGTACGAGTGGTCCAAGGAGCTCGAGCTCTTCCATAGCGGAGACGATCTGAGTGCTGTCCCCGACTGCGAGAATAGACTGCCGTCGGCCAATCCGTTTCCGACGTGTGGTACAGGGCACACCTGCAGAGGATGCTGATGATGGGCGCCCAAAGAGCCGTTGTCCGTAGCGTCTACGTTTCCCGAGTACGCCTTGGCGGTTTCCTTGTGATGGACCATCTCGGCGAATCCCTGACTAAGACGCGTGCGTGTTATCAAGGGTTCAGGAGATACACAAAACTTCAAAAGTACAAGCGGCAGCACAAGTGTGGTGTGAAGCGGAAAGAGTGCCAAACACGTGCGCTCCTCTCCACCTTATATGCAGTAATACTTCGGTAGAGTTCACTGGTGCCGTAGCGGCTTACCACAAAGGATCCTCAATGCTGATGCTACGTTATTGGTGTTAGCGCACGCCCAGAAAATGGAATTGGGATTTCGACCGTTCCTGTGTCAGTGTTCTTCGTGGAGATAGCCTTCGTCCGTGTCTTGGAACCAGATCGCCAGGCATGGAAAGGACCAAAGTTTTCGAGAATTTGCTACAGTCCAACAGAAGGGAATGGCGTCACACTCACCGCTGGAAGCATGTCAGTCGACCCTTGCTCGATGGAATCAATCAAAAAGGAGGCTGAAAGCTTGAGGTACTCTTCGTACTTCTCCTGGAGAATAGAAAGACATACGATTATACATCGCGGCATAAATATATGGGTGTGAGAAGTGATGATACCCAGTGGAAGCAGATCATTTCTAAAACGTTAAGGCGTTCTTGCAACGGAAACGGCGGGTTGGCTACGCGAGCGGGTGTATCGACAGGCAAGAGAAGCTGCCCAACTTGTGCACGACGCGGGAGTAACGACCTAGGGGCCGTACCTCCCACCGGAGTAGTGCTCACCGTGTCTCCCATGTAACTGTACAAGTATCCCAGGATCGCCCATGCCCTGAATTGATGTTGACGCGAGGACGGGACAGGAGATGGGCGGGCGGTGTAAGGGGTCGAGCGGGAAGGGCTATACCGCCTGCCATGCACGATTCCACACACCCTGGACTGAGGTTGAACCCTGGATATATTCAGATCAAGATTTTCAATGACAAAAAAGTGTCGTTCGAAAGTTGCGATTTCAGCATTTCCCAAGGCATATATATCGGTCGGTATTGTCAACCTCACTGACGTGCAGATGCCGAGCCTTACAAAACCAGAGTAGGTTTGTGGGATCGTGTGTGGCATACGGTACTAAGCCTTCATCACCTGGCCGTGCAAACAAGATTGCTATGTGCACTGATGACGTTGGCCAAGAAGCAAACAAAGGGTGAACCAACATCCCCGAAAACACGGGCAACATGATCCATCTGACACGTTTGGCACAGGTAGCGGGACAGCGTGCCCTCGCAATACAAATTGTCTGCGCAACTCACTTTGCCACCTCAGCATTTACGGGACCCGTGTAGGCGTCCAGTGCATCTCTCGCCAGTTGAAGGTAGTTCGCGACCTTTCGTGACACGTTGGGTTCGCGGGCGGTATTTTGACTAGCGCTGTACCTCGAAATCAAATTGGTCGACAGCGGCACGCCACTATCAGAAGTTGTACCAAGCGAATACTGGCTCCCGCACTGCGACGGGGAACAACGGTGCCTCTACTCGTTCAGGGTAGGTAAAGAATGTCACTCCACATATTCTCACCGACACAACAGGGCTGCCCTTCACAAGAGCCCCCAGGCCAACTGCACACCAAAAGGTGCAACCGGAGAGGCCGGTCGAAAGCTGATTCCCATGGTAATACCGTCCTCTGTGGGGATGGCGTCGAAGTGATCTTGCTCGAAGGAATGGTGCGACACGCATAGCTCAGGTTCGGCAGTTGACGGGGCCATGATCCTCACCATAGTTTCGCGGATGTGACTGGCGGTAACAGTAAATCGCACAGGAATCTCGATTTGGGCGCTATTGACTGAAAGGGCACATAAGAGATAAATACCATCTCTCGGACGAATCGATGGCCCCGCTCGATAAAACTCCGATGCAACATGGGATATTCTAGGTGGCGGGGCGCCCTATTGTGTACGCCATCAAAGCTATTTTGCACCTTTGAGTCGTGAGCGGCAGGAAGCCAACGCATCCGAAGAAGTCACTGAGGAATGCGTTCTCCTGCATTCCCACAAGTCCAGTCGCCGGAGATGCACTCAACCGGAACCTGGTACAGCAGAACATTCTTTTGGACGTGGATAAATCGTGCAAAAATCTCTCCACCGATATCATACGCGAGACTTGACGGCCTCTGTAACGTCCAGAGCACCGTTTGTCTTCCTTCAGCTCATACATGCGTCTTCGATGCACCCTCGTCTATCGGGTGTTTGGAGGTGCTGCTGAGCGGGGCAGCTTACACTACTGTAGTGTGCATACACCGGTGGGCAGCAATTCCACATGGATCAATTCTTGTCTTCCCTTCACCCACGGCTTCGGGACACTGCTACTGTGAAGCGTGGAATGAAAACCGGATACCAGACAGGGAATGCGATGGTGCACATATAGGCTCTGTGACTCGAGCCGAAGATAATTTGTTGTATTTCGAATGGAGTCGAAACAACCCGCAAGAGCAAAAAATAAGACTGACCTCTTCAATGGCAGCATGCCGCTGGCATGAAGCGCCCCGGATGACGAGTGGTGCAGCAACTCCGTCGACTTCATGCCAGCAGGACCACGTGGATTGCTCCGATGCTGAGGCTGAGGTTGACACTGGTGCGGCTTCCGCTTGCTGTACGTGCACTGAAGACCAGCTCCTAAGCACCGGCTGCGTGAAGTAAGGGGCCACATATCGAAAACAACCTTCAGCGCCTACTGTATTGAGTGTTTTTTTTATTTGAGACGTGGAATACTGGAATGCTGACGTGGTGTTAGAGGTTTTGTGTGGGGGGGGGGATGGACTGCGTGGTAGGCGTGGAGACACGCCCCAACCGATTCGTCATCCGACAACTATAGGATTGTGTTCGTGCATTCCAACCGTGTGTGTTGTATCTCACGCGCACGATTGTTAGGTCGTCGAAGGTCGTGTTCGAGTTAGTCGAATTCAAGATCTATATACTCGAATCCCGCAAACTTTAACAGGAGCGTCACGAGTTTCAGCAGCAAAAAATGGCCAACGGTCAATACATCACCCACCTGCAAGGGGTCTGGCCATCGCACTTCCTTTTCTTTCGCCCACATTCTCTGCAGCTCTTTCGCATCCCAAGATTGTTCGTAGCCACCTTTCCGTCTTTTCTGCCACTGGCATTCATGGTGGAAGTCTCTTCCTCATGTCCCGTGTTCCTGGGTGTATGGTTCGAACGTCGTGGGTTGTTCTTTTAAGAAAACATTCACATACAATCATAGGCGTTTCGCTCCAGAGGGTAAGGTGTGGCTCTTCGAGACGTTGCAACGGACGGTACGTGTAAGAGGCCGGACAAACGGCGGGCTATCGGTGCCATCAAGAGATCAACCCACTCTTACGTACCGTATCTTCGGACGACGCTGCAGGGCATGCCCGGTAGACGCACAGGTTCTTGATACAGCAGTATACTACTGAGATACAAGGGCCCTGCGTGGATGACCGCTACCGGCAGTCGCAGCTGCTCCCGTAGGTTGCATGGCGATGGCAAGTGCGTGCGGGTGGAGTTTTGAAAGGAGAGGAACCAAGACGCAACTACCACATCCAGCATGTTATTGTATGTGTGCCTACTTCGAAGTGTAGTAAGTTATGTGCCGTATCATCAGGGCAAAAACCAACCGCAGTACTCGTCCCACAGCACATAGACTATGAATATATCCCGATGTGGCGTCGGAGGAGGATACCCCGACGGATGCAACGCTTGCTGGTTTCGAACCCTACACCTACTGCTGTATACATTATTTTGCATCGGTCCGAAAACCTGTTGTAGGATATAGCCCTATCCCCAAGCCGACCCAAAGGGCTCGGTTGCTTTGCACTGTGGTTTCAACAGTACTGTAGTGCTAGGTTGCTGTTGACAGCCTGCACCTGCCCAAGGAATGTTCCGATAAATGACGTTCCGACATGGACGCCACGAAGTTCTGTTTGGGGTGTCGGCGCGTGTACTATGTTATCACGCTTGCGGGCTCTTGTCGAGAGCGTCTTGCTCAAAGGAGTGACTCATGTTCAGTGACTCATGTTCCTTGATTCTTTGAGAGTGACAGGCGTGAGCAAGAATAGGCAAAGCTTGCTGCACCAAGTCTGTCTATCATACCAATATCTATCTCATCTGCGTACCCCCCTCGGAGATCTCGGCGACTTGTATCCTGCCTAGTACACACACAAACAGCCCCTTACTCGGTACGACCCAGTCACCCAGTCATCCAGTTGCAATACGCACAACGACTTGCTGCTTGGGGTGTAGTGTGCAGACTGCTGTGCGCACGACATCGGACGCAACCTCCCCCGCTTTTCGTCGGGATCGAAAGGAAGACGCACTTAGGCAATATGGCTGTTTGTCTAGTGGCACGTGGAGACTTGGTTGCTTAGTCGCCGTGTGTGGCGAGGGCGTGTACATGTACATGTTCATGCATTATTGTTAATGAGCCGCGGAACGCGAAGCGCGACCTCTTTTTCCTTCATGCCCAGGAGGTAAACAAAGGCTCTTGGGTGACCCTATTTGCAGGATGGTCCTGCAACCGAAATGCTGCAGGATGGAAAACGCCTCCAGAACCAACCAACCACAAACCCAGAACCAAGCAGCGAACCAAGACACACAGAAACACAGTGAAACACAGACACCTGCTCCACAGACCACCACCACAGACAGACCACATACATCA